TTTTATTTGAAATGTTTCAAAAACTCCGGTTTACAACAAAAACAGCCAACATGTAAATGAGAAGATGATTCTCACCATCATGTTCTGATCTCCGAGATGATTGGCAGAAATAAGGTCAAAGTTTATAAATAAACTCTTCTAAAACGTCTGGTTATAAAAAAAAAAAAAAAAAAAAAGGATTTTCTCGCGAGCTTGAACAAACTGCAGACGGCGCACGCTTCCACAGGAAGCTGAGCGTCCACGAAGCTCCAAACACGTCAGTCCCCACTTATCATGCGTGTTGATCCACCAGGAGAACACGTGGCTCGATCTTCTCCTGCGCTCCGTACACCCGAGGCCCGTTCCTTCTTTAACGTCGTAAGGAAATTAAAATAAAACTTTACCTCCCTTTATTTTGGAGGTGGCGAGGACTGAACGAGGCAGTAAGACTTCTACGGTGAACATTTTAAGTGACAGCGCTCGTGTCTTACACACACGGCTAAACTCAGGGAGGGGTTAAGCCTTTATTGTTCTCTGTGGGTTTGTTCTTTTTAATGTTTTTAGTTTTTATTAAAATAAGCAACATTTCTCCCAAAAGAGACAAATAAAGAACTTTGAGCATAAAAGGTTTGAGTTGAAAAACAGTGAATAAACGTGTGAAAACTGCTAAAATCTTTTAGAAACTTTGTGGTTGTACACCAGGAACGCCCCATCCTGTCACCGTGGGGACGGGTCAGCGGGGTGGTGATGAAGGAGGCGGAGGAGGAGGAGGAGGAGGGGGAGGAGGAAAAGGGAAGTCGGAGAAAGGGACAGAATTGGGAGGCCAGAGAGGACAGGAGAACGCAGGGTTAAAGAAAGACGGAGGAAGAGGAGGGTAGAGAGGGAAGCTAGGTGGGGGGCAAGAGGGAGCAGTGGGAGGAGGATATGAGCAGGGAGGGGGGAGGTACATGGGAAGGGCGTTGGCGTGTCCAGGTGACGGGTATGAGTGAGTGTATGGAAACTGCATGTTTCTTGGGTCCTGGTGCTGGACTCGAGGTCC